GGGATGAGGCTAGTAGGTAGGAGATGGGGGTGGGGCTTGAGGTGGGAGGAGGGGATAGGTGGGAGGAAGGACAGGTTAGGGACTGCCTTGGTCGACCCATTGTCTCCACCTGCTCCTGCCCCACCGAACATATCTCTACCTATCTCGACTCCATTTTCTCCCCCTTGATCCAGGAACTCCCTACCTACGTCCATGACACCACCCACGCCCTCCACCTTCTCCAAAACTTCCAATTCCCCGGTCCCCAACACCTCATCTTTACCATGGACGTCCAGTCCCTATACACCTGCATTCCCCATGCAGATGGCCTAAAGGCCCTCCGCTTCTTCCTGGCCCGCAGGCCCGACCAGTCCCCCTCCACTGACACCCTCATCCGCTTAGCCGAACTCGTCCTCACCCTCAACAACTTCTCTTTCAATCCCTCCCACTTCCTACAGACAAAGGAGGTGGCCATGAGTACCTGCATGGGCCCAAGCTATGCCTGCCTCTTTACAGGTTACGCGGAACAATCCCTCTTCCGTAGCTACACTGGCCCTGAACCCGACCTCTTCCTCCGTTACATTGATGACTGTATCGGTGCCACCTCGTGCTCCCACGAGGAGCTCGAACAGTTCATCCACTTCACCAACACCTTCCACCCCAACTTTCAGTTCACTTGGACCATCTCCGATACCTCTCTTTCCTTTCTGGACCCCTCTGTTTCCATCTCTGGCAACCACCTGGAAACCGATATCCATTTCAAGCCCACCGACTCCCACAGCTACCTAGAATACACCTCCTCCCATCCACCTTCCTGCAAAAATGCCATCCCCTATTCCCAAATCCTTCGCCTCCGCCGCATCTGCTCCCAGGATGAGACATTCCACTCCCAAATATCTCAGATGTCCTCGTTTTTCAAGGACCGCAACTTCCCCTCCACAGTGGTTGAGAACGCCCTCGACCATGTCTCTCGCATTTCCTGGAACTCATCCCTCACACCCCCTCCTCGTCCTCACATACCACCCCAACAACCTCCGGATCCAATTCATCATCGGCCGACACTTCCGCCATCTGCAATCCAATCCCACCACCAAGGACATTTTTCCCTCCCCACCCTTATCTGCTTTCCAGAGGGACCACTCTCTCCATGACTCCCTTGTCCGCTCCACACTCCCCTCCAACCCCACCACACCCGGCACTTTTCCCTTCAACCGCAGGAAGTGCTACACCTGCCCCTACCCCTCCCCCCTCAACCCCATTCCAGGCCCCAAGAAGACTTTCCACATCAAGCAGATGTTCACCTGCACATCTGCTAATGTGGTATACTGTATCTGCTGTTCCCGTTGTGGCCTCCTCTACATCAGCGACAGCAAGCAGAGGCTTGGGGACTGCTTTGCAGAACACCTACGCTTGGTTCGTGACAAACAACTCCATCTCCCAGTCGCGAACCATTTCAACTCCCCCTCCCATTCCTCAGACGACATGTCCATCCTGGGCCTCCTGCAGTGCCACAACGATGCCACCTGAAAGTTGCAGGAACAGCAACTCATATTCCGCTTGGGAACCCTGCAGCCCAATGGTATCAATGTGGACTTCACAAGCTTCAAAATCTCCCCTCCCCCTACCGCATCCCAAAACCCCAGCCCAGCTTGTCCCCGCCTCCCTAACCTGTCCTTCCTCCCTCCTATTACCTCCCCCCACCTCATCTCCCCCCCTACACTCACCTTTACTGGCTCCATCCCCGCCTCTTTGGCCTGTCTGTCTCCTCTTCACCTATCTTCTCCTCTATCCATCTTCTATCCGCCTCCCCCTCTCTCCCTATTTATTTCAGAACCCCCTTCCCCTCCCCCATTTCTGAAGAAGGGTCTAGGCCCGAAACGTCAGCTTTCCTGTTCCTCTGATGCTGTTTGGCCTGCAGTGTTCATCCGGCTCTACACCTTGTTACCACTGTACATTCTTCAGCATAAGTTAGTATCACACTCTGATGACAAGTTGGGCAAGAATTTTGCCAAATAGTTGATGAATTCAACAAATTGTTGCACTGTTTTTACATCTGTTGATCAGATCAGCCATGATCTTAGTGAATGACAGAGGAGTTTCAAAGGGGTTGAATGGCCTATTCCTGCTCCTGGTTGATATGTTTGTACCTATGTCCAGTCAGTCCATCACTGCTACTTCACTTCAGTTTTTATTCAGCTTCAGGTTCATCTGGCAAACTGTATCTCGCAGTTACACTAGATTATGGTTGTGGTCAGCAATGGTTTTTTCCATCGGTATTTCTGTATACATAAATCAACAGATCATCCACTATAACTTCCACTCTGGGAAGGCCACAAGCAATCTGCTATCTACACTGATGTCTTCTGGATCTGTAAATAAGCCAAAAGGTATGTGCAACCATCTATATCTCTCACAGAACCCCCAAGACATAAATGTTGTTGCTTTCATTGAGTTTAACTTTCCCGTATCCACTCCTTGCATCTAGGATGATGAAGACTTTTGCCTTTGCAACTTGTGCAAAGTTTGTTCAATGGATAGCATCAGGCGGTGAGATCCTTTGGAATTTTATTTAGATCCTTTTTGCTGACGCATACTCTATGCTTTCAACATTGTTTCACTGCTAACATGCCTCTAATCCATCCAGTAGGAGTCGTCACTTTCTTTATTACTCTCCTTTTCTCCTCGCCCTCAATCTAGTCTTTCAGGATGGCCTCAAACATTCCTCAACTCCCCCTGAATTGGTCCAACACTCCATTTATATCAAGATATTTTACAGTTTTTTAACACTCAATCTCAGCTTTACTTCTGACACCAGATTCTGTTTTCACAAAACAGCAAACTGGTCAGGTTGAAGTGCCTCTAAGATGGTTGCTTGCATTGCAGTGCCTCACTGTAGAAATTCATATGACTAACACAGACCGGAAAGATATTTGTGCATGATTGTTGTTTGGATTGAAATACATTTGGTGGAAAGTATGATCAACTACCTGACTAGAAAATAAATGGACACTGTTCTAGCCTTCGGACCTCAGTTCTAACTCCCACCTCTAACCTGGGACAGCATGACAGGGAATTCAAGTGTTCAGGAAGAAGTAGCTGTGCTAATGTTCTAATAAAGTTGCAGATAAATGTTCCTAATATAATTTCAGGACGTTCAATCTTTTTCCACATGCTGCAAAATTGTGAATATATTACTCATCCTGTTTGACCTTTCAAGAAAAACCTTTGCAAGTACTATAAAATTCACGATCAGTTTCATTAAAATCAAATATGTCTGTTATGGGTAAAAATGGAGCGTCAAGTAGAACAGGGAATGGTTTCATCTCTGCATTTCTAGACAGCAAGAAATTCAGGTATCACCTTCATAGACAGGTCCACCATTTAATTACACACAACCAAATGCTTTT